CCTTTTTCTTCCCCCAAAAAAGCTCAAAAGCACGAGAGCATTGTAGGCATAGCCTCAGCTACATCGTCCTCGCTATCCTGCAGCCCAACTTGGAGGCACGGTCCGCCGCGTAGCACCACGTTGACTACTGGCCTTTTCTCCCCTCCCCTTGGGGTTGGGGGCCCTTGGCAAATCTGCGGTGGTCGGGGCCCGCCGCCACCACAGCGCCGTCCGTCCTCGGCTCCTCCGCTCTTCCGCCCATCCGTTTCCGTTCCCTATAAATTCCCGGCCCGGCCTCAAGCCCCGTTCCGCTCCACCAACCCGACGGCGAGGGAGAACACACACCGCAGGTCCGCAGCGATGCGTCAGGGCTCGCTGCCGCTGCTGCTGATTGCGGCAGTAGCGGCTGCCGCGGTTTCCGCCGCGCCGGCGTCGACGCTGTCCGGGCCGTCGCGGCCGGTGACGGTGCCGGTCGGGGACAGGGGCCACGCGGTGGACCTGCCGGACACGGACCCGCGGGTGCAGCGCCGCGTCACGGGCTGGGCGCCCGAGCAGGTCGCCGTCGCGCTCTCCGCCGCGCCCACCTCCGCCTGGGTCTCTTGGATCACAGGTACACCCTCCCCGCACCCGACACCGGACACCCCCACCGGCCATCACCCCAGAAAAGAAAAATCCATTCTTTGGCCTGGATTCTCTCCTCTCTCTCTCTGCCTGCAGAAGTGCAGATCGACATCGACGCTGGCTCATCCATTGATCTGCCTGCAGGGGACTTCCAGATGGGCGGCGCCGTCAAGCCGCTGGACCCCAGCGCGGTGGGCAGCGTCGTGCGCTACGGCCTCGCCGCCGACTCCCTCGTCCACGAGGCCACCGGGGAGTCGCTCGTGTACAGCCAGCTCTACCCCTTCGAGGGCCTCCAGAACTACACCTCCGGCATCATCCACCATGTCCGCCTCCAAGGCCTGGAGCCTGGGACCAGGTACTTCTACCGGTGCGGCGACCCGTCCATCCCGGACGCCATGAGCGACGTGCACGCGTTCCGGACGATGCCGGCCGTAGGTCCCAAGAGCTACCCGGGGAGGATCGCCGTGGTCGGGGACCTCGGGCTCACGTACAACACCACCTCGACGGTGGAGCACATGGTGCGCAACCAGCCCGACCTGGTGCTCCTCCTCGGCGACGTCTGCTACGCCAACCTGTATCTGACCAACGGCACCGGAACCGACTGCTACTCCTGCTCCTTCGCCAACTCCACGCCCATCCACGAGACCTACCAGCCGCGCTGGGACTACTGGGGAAGGTACTGTAAGATAATAGGGAAGGTGTCTGAACTCTGAAACTCTGAAGAACAATGTGTTCATCAGAGTGACAGTCATTCAGAGCCAGTTTGATTTGTTCAGAGATCGATCAGAACAAATGCTGGATGGATTCAGAGCTGAGAGCGATCCTCGTGCGTGCAGGTACATGGAGCCCGTGACGTCGAGCATTCCGATGATGGTGGTGGAGGGCAACCATGAGATCGAGGAGCAGATTGACAACAAGACGTTCGCGTCCTACAGCACCAGGTTCGCGTTCCCGTCGGAGGAGAGCGGGTCTTTCTCCCCGTTCTACTACTCGTTCGACGTTGGCGGCATCCACTTCGTCATGCTTGCGTCTTATGCCGACTACAACCGATCAGGTGAAATTTAACCTGACCATCGATCTAACTTAACACTGTAGGAAGAACAGTTTGCTATCTCATAAGAAGGTAGTTAGGAGCTACTACATGCATCAGAGCCAAAATTCAGTAAAGAGAACATTCCATTGTGCAAAGCATCTGATAGCAGAACAACTTGGTGCTCAGGTGCGCAGTACCGATGGCTGGAGGAGGACTTGGTGAAGGTGGACAGGTCGGTGACGCCGTGGCTGATCGCCGGCTGGCACGCGCCCTGGTACACCACGTACAAGGCTCACTACAGGGAAGCCGAGTGCATGAGGGTGGAGATGGAGGAGCTCCTCTACGCCTACGGCGTCGACGTCGTCTTCACTGGCCATGTAAGCCTTGCCCTTGCGCCTCCTCTACTGATGGTCTGAGGTGAGCAAGAACGATTGAACATGGTGGTCTGTGATCGATGTCCATCAGGTGCACGCGTACGAGCGGTCGAACCGGGTATTCAACTACACGTTGGACGCGTGCGGCCCCGTGCACATCTCGGTGGGCGACGGCGGCAACCGCGAGAAGATGGCGACGGCGCACGCGGACGACCCGGGCCACTGCCCGGACCCGGCGTCGACGCCGGACCCCTTCATGGGCGGCCGCCTCTGCGCGGCCAACTTCACGACGGGCCCCGCGGCGGGGCGCTTTTGCTGGGACCGGCAGCCGGACTACAGCGCGTACAGGGAGAGCAGTTTCGGGCACGGCGTCCTGGAGGTGAAGAACGACACGCACGCGCTCTGGCGGTGGCTCCGCAACCAGGACCTCAACGCCGACGTCGCCGCCGACGAGGTCTACATCGTCAGGGAGCCCGACAAGTGCCTCGCCAAGTCTTCCAGATTATTGGCCTATTGATTGGAGATTATTGGTGCTCCTAGCTACTATAGCTAGTTGCTTGCTAGAGGATTACCTCTCCGACCACAAATGGAAACCGTACCGGTCAAGCAAACTCACGTTTCATCAACTTTATAGAAAATAATATTAGTATTTATGTCTCGGAGAAATTTTATTATGAAAATGTTTTTTTATAACTAATCTAATTATACTCATTTTATATCGTGAATGTTAATATTTTTTTATATAAATTTAGTCAAAGTTTAAACTATATGACTCCTCGTAAAAAGAGAATTATATTCATTTGGGACGGAGGGAGTACAATATTAATTAGCAGTAGTAGTCTAGTAGTCTGTAGTACCAAATTAAGCTTCCAGCCAGATTGGCCGGTCAGTTCTTGTTCTTGCAGCCTGTTCGCTTGCCAGGGCTCTTGGCAGACTACTCGAGATGAAATAACATATAGCAAATCCATCAAGTTAATTGGATAGCAAAGATTTTGCAGTCTGCTTCTCGAGTTTAATCTCTCCGCCAGACTGAAAATGAAAATGCATATCAGCAATCTACTGCTCGGAGGCCGAACATATAGCAAATTATTTGTTAATTGGATAGCAAAGATTTTGCAGTCTGCTTCTCGAGTTTAATCTCTCCGCCAGACTGAAAATGAAAATGCATATCAGCAATATGCTCCCTCCATCCCCAAATTTTGGATACAATTATAGAACGATACTCAATAAAACTATCTTAAAGTTGACTATTTTTTAAAAAAAATATTAACAATTATTATACTCAATAGTCTAGTAGATTTGTTTAGATCCAAACAGCTGATAGTTAGATATTAGTAGAGTAAAGTACGCTAGTGGTCCTTAAACTTATGCATTACGTCTAAATATAATAATATGTCTAAATATGTAGCAAAATAGATAAACCAAAAATAAATCAAAGCGACTTATAATTTAGAATAGATGGAGTATTATCTGTGAGCTATTAGCTAGCTAACTATTAACGGATAATGGACAAACATGGTCTTAGAGTCTGAAACATTGCTGCTATTAAACATTGTTGTTATTATTATTACTCCACTTTCAAAGTGCTGTTGTTATAAGATCCAGCGACGTGACCAACGGAGACATGGGCTTTGGAATTCCTATATGGGCCGGGCCAAGTGTGCACCAGTCAGGGAACGTATCACCAGCACCACGACCGCTCGCTCCGTCCACCTCGTCTTCTTTCGTGGAAGGAAGCAGAGCGCGGCAGTGAGCAGGCATGGCTCACTGCCTTGCCGGCAGCAGCAGCCCTCCCGTCACCTTCTCGCGCTGCCCCCGCCTGAATCTGAATGGGTAAATTTCCTCCTACTCAGAACCAGCTCTGCGCCTGACTGCCTTTGCGTTCGCCCTCTGAACCTGTCTGTTCATGTTTTTTTGAACGAACCCCGTCTGTTCATGTTCGTTCCCATAGTTCCAGATTTTCAATGGGGGTTTCGTGGTGGTGCGAGGTGGTATTTTCGCGCCGTGTGTCGTTTTACATGGGTTTATTGTGAGAATCGGTGGTTTCGGGGGAGCGTCCTTGAAGGATGTTTTGCTAAGCAGACCGAGCGCCCACAACCTGTTTGTCGAATTGCTCTGGAGCTGTTCTTAGATTATATGAACTACCAAAACACTACGAGTTCGTGGGTTTACTGTTCCTATAATGGATTTTTCATCATTATATAAATTGGAGAGCTAACCAGGAATTTGGCTTTTTAAGTATTATATGGCCCAAAACTACACAGATACCTTCACATTCTCTCCTGAAGCTATGACTGTCATTCCAATCTCATTGAGTGTATGCTCTGGCCATGTTCAGTGTGTGAATGGTGACACTTTATTTCATCAGTATCTTATTTTCTTTTGTTTTGCCAATTGTTGTTTACACATGCTCATCCCCCTTGGCACACGACTTTTTATTGAATATATGCTCTGCAGTTCGTCTGCAAGAATATCCCACGACTAGAATATGAATATCTGCTTTGCACTCTTTAACTCTGTAAAATGAACAGAATTTTCTTTATGTTCATTTGAATTATTGTGTTCTACTATGTGACAATATTAAGTTTCCTGCCTTCTAGGAATCTTCCAGTCGACGTGCCGTTGTACAATGTAGCACTTCATTGAGCACTCCAACAATGTCTGAAGCCTAACCTTCATCAGCTGAATGTTCAGCGCTTGTTCAAGGTGGTACCGCCCCTCTGGTTTGTGCACTGCAATCAACTGCCAGACAAGATGTTTCCTCCTTTCACTTCCCAGGACACAACAGAGGAAAAGCTGCTCCATCTTCCTTGTCGAAACTTATTGGCCCAGGGGCATTTCTGCATGACTTACCCGAGCTACCTGAGCTCAACGATCTCTTCTCCCCAAAAGGTGTGATTCTAGATGCTCAGAGGCGAGCAGCTCAACTGTTTGGGTCATCTAAAACTTGGTTCCTTGTCAATGGAACTACCTGTGGAATCCAGGCCTCAGTGATGGCTACCTGTTCTCCTGGCGACTACCTAATTGTGCCACGAAACTGCCACATTTCAGTGATCTCTGCGCTGGTCTTATCTGGTGCGGTGCCTAAATACATAATACCGGAATATAATTCTCGGTGGGACATTGCTGGTGGTATCACCCAGTTGCAGTTGGATGAAACAGTAAAAGAGCTGGAGGAGGATGGAAAGAGGGTAGGTGCTGTTCTTGTTACTTCGCCAACCTACCATGGTGTATGCAGCAATGTGCAAGGTATTGTCAGTGTTTGTCATCCACGAGGCATTCCGGTTATAGTTGACGAGGCACATGGAGCGCATTTCAGGTTCCACGACAGTTTGCCAAGCACGGCAATTGAACAAGGTGCTGACCTAGCTGTGCAATCCATGCACAAGGTCCTGTGCTCACTTACACAGTCCTCAATGCTTCACATGGCTGGAGATCTTGTGGATGTAGATAAAGTAAGCCAGTGCCTTCAGCTCCTCCAGAGCTCGAGCCCGAGTTACCTCCTACTGTCATCTTTAGATGCTGCAAGAGATCAGCTGAGCAAGAACACAAATATATTTGATGAGCCATTAGCTATAGCATCAGAAACAAAAGACCAGCTGATGAGAATCCCAGGGATATCTGTTCTGGACTTGCCATGCTTTGCTTCTGATTTCCCTGCTATTGATCCCTTGCGTATCACACTCAGTCCTTCAGATCTGCAATTATCGGGATTTGAAGCCGATGACATTTTATATGAAGATCATCAAATTGTCTCTGAGCTCGTTGGCACACGGGCAGTGACATTTGCAGTCAACTTAGGAACCAGAGTGCGAGACGTTGAAAAACTTGTGCAATCTGCAAAGCATCTATCAGAAAAATATTTCTTTGCAAATAGCTCCGAATCTATGAAGGAAAATCGTGTGTGTGGCCCATTGGAGAAGATCTCTGTGCATATAACTCCAAGAGAGGCCTTCTTTACAAAGAAGAGGAGAGTGAGAATTGAGGACAGCCTTGGTGAAATTTGTGGTGAGCTAATATGCCCTTATCCACCTGGTATCCCAGTGCTGATCCCAGGCGAGGTAGTAACCCATGATTCACTGTCTTACTTGATTAGTGTCAGACACCAAGGCATCACAATCAGTGGAGCAGCTGATGCTGAGCTAAATTCCATCCTGGTGTGCAACTTGTGATGATTGCCCAGTTGTTTTCATAAGACTATATTTCAGAGATACCGTGGGAGAGATCAATTATAGTTAGGCCAAGTCAAGAGCACAATCTACTGTCTGCTTGATGGATGTGAACTACAGTGACGTTAAACTAATGTCTGGCCACTTGGTCAAATAATTTAGGTTGTGTTCTGTCTCGTGAGCTGAAAGAGTTGCCAAGCTGCAACATATGGATGCCAAAGTATGAATAGGGTCTATAGCATGTGATCTCTTGTGAGTTTGAAGTATGAATTGCTGGGAAGGCTACCTTTTCATCTGAAGTGCCTTGCAATGTAATGGTATCCTGCTTTTCTGTATCATTTTTAAGAACTACACATAAGTGCCAGAGATCCATTTAATAAAGTAGATTGAGCAACTGACTTTGTTGCCAAAGAGTGAAAGTATATGTGCCTTCCTTTGCTCACTGACAAGGGCCGGCCACTGTTATCTCACTGCATCCTCTAGGTGCATCTTGCCGGTTATAATGAAAGCAAATAGAAAAGCAAGATGAAATGAATGTGTAGGGGACCCTGGCGACAATTTGATCTGTTTGTATGCGTGCAGAGTGTTCTCACCCGTTCAGGGTACCGGTGGCGTATCCGTGATGTTGCAGAACTCGGCAGACAACTTTAGCGCATCGCCCCTGCTCCTGCTACCTCGCTGCTGTTGCTGACACGTCCGACCAGTCACAAATTGGACCAAACAAACATGAAGCGAGAATGGGCGGCGGCAATGACGGAATCAATCCACACGAGCACGATAAAAAATACATGGGAGACGACGTCCTTGCTGCTGCTGACGTCTTGACGACGTACAGCGCGTCCAGGAGCCACGACGACTCGACGTGGCCTTTGGGCGTTTAGACGTGCCGGATTGTCATTGTTAGGGCAAGGGAAGGGAAAGGAAGAGATAATTGTGTCGCCGTGATCCACACGATGCTGGGCGCGACAACGAAGCGGGGGCTGTTGGGTAAAGGAAATTACCAATTGATGGACGATCGATTCATGTTTCCTTTCTTGCTTAACGCTGACGGGGCGATTGATTAATGTTTCCTTTTTCATCCGTGATTTGTGCCGATGGGAAAAAGCCGGAAAAAAATATAGAGATAATGGAGTCTGCGGTGATCTTTCAGGAAGGTCACGGATCATACGCACGCGATGATTCCGGGAGGTTGGAGATCGAGCGATTGTGCCAGGATCGTCGAGCGGGAGAGGGGAGCTTTGTTGTCGCACCTGTGGACAAAATAGTTATGAATGTTTTAGTCGTAGAGACTCATGAATTCACGAATATTCCACAACTTGTACATACAAAAGGGAAATGTAGCAATGGACCGCATCATTGTGATCACAACCCTTTTTTTCATCTCGTAGAATGGTACTCCTACTCTATATAAGAAATGAAGGTGCTTACAAATTAAGACCTCCACCTGAACCTGGAACTCAAAACAGGATACAATTGTAGCAGATTTGGTCACGATAATTGTTTATTTAAAGCTTCATAGGCCCCTATACATTTCCATCAACAACCATGAAGTAATGTGATGGTGATGATGACGATGATGATGCGGTTGGGTTTGTCACGGGCTGGCGTTCTTTCCCTAACAAAGCTCACCATAAACAATAAGGACTTGTGAGCTAACGCTCTTCCCCCACTGAGCTGTCGGTTTCCTTCCCATTTAATTAAGCACATACGAACAGCATTTGGACTCATCAGCCTCACTTAATCCAACCATCTCATGATAAACATTTAAGCAAGCAGACATGCATTTATATTAGTTAGAGCCTTAAGATTCCCACTACCAGAAGAGTCCACCGTCTGACAGGTGGGACCATGTCCCTCCGTGCCAGGCATAAAAACCAGATAATTGAATTGGTTCTGGCAGGATGCTAGCTACAGAAAGATCATGTGAACTGCTCTATGTCTATAGAAAAGGATGTATGTCTATAGTTTTGTTTTTTGGCCTTTTTTTTCTTCAAAATCATGTCTATTGCTATCATCGAAGAATCTTCCTTTTTTAGTAAATATGAAAGACGTGCTTTGCATATCCTAAAATCTAGCATATCATATCACTCTACCTTAATCAACTTGTCATTTGCATCACCTAGCTGCACTCCTGTCTGTCACAGTTAACAACAAATCATCACGCCAAATCCAGTTTTCTTTGCTTTCATGGACTTGTAAAATAGACATATCCTCTGTGCCGTGTGCTAATTTTGTCGGAAACCTAAAATGGAATTAAATCGATTATATAAAAGCAGGGTCTAGTAACAGTTGTTTGGCGCGTACTGACAGAGTGACAGTTGCATCTTACTTATGATCCGTGGTTGGTGAGATTTATTGGCTATTTTTAGTTAGGGCAACCCTGATTAAAAAAAAGGGTTAGAGAAGACAGGGCTACTGATTGCCCGTGGATCCGAATTCACGATCCAAATGATTCGCCTTGCTGCTGAGCAATCGCATCCTTTAATTGTGATCATGGTCATTGGTCACCACTCACCAGTAGTATGATATATATACTATCCTAATCCTCCACTGGAAGAAGATTGTGACACTATCCACAGGAGGATTCTTTACATGTTATAAGTATCTGTGTGTATATATGACATGTGGGTCCTGTGACCATGACCCTCAAATCAGAAAGTTCTTAATTTGCATTCACTGATACTACAATTACTGTGGATGATCGACTGCCAAGAGAGCTGATGCATGTGTTTTTTTTTGGCCATTAGTGAATGGATAGCGATCTGATCAAAGCAAGATTATAAGCGCTAATGGAACAGTGGTCTATTGCCATTGTCACATTATTGACGTGATAAGCAACAGGGAAAATGGAGAAGAAGGTGGGTGTGCGCGTGCATGTACACTCACCACACTCGTCGGTGGTGGTTGTCACCTTTTTTCTAGAAAAATAATACGTGCACCGGCGTGAATGTGATGAACAAAGCCTGTTTGTTAATCCGTCTTAATCGTTTGTAATGACGACTAGCAGCAGAGCAGCCGATGGTGTAGTATGCGTGTACGCGTGGTGCACTGATGAATTGCTGTTGGTGTTTAGCCAGCCCAGCAATGCATGCGATTGCAGATTAAACACACTTGAATGCACGCACGACTAATGTACTGTCAGATACATATGTGCATGCATGTTTGCAATTTATTACTAGTGATGGCTGCACTGATTCCATGTACTGCCTGTTTCGTGTCAGTTCACCTGCTCGATGGTACCAACAATGCCTCCTCTGCCCACATTCATAGTATCATGATATAACAGGATAGCAATGGTGAGCAAAAAAATAAAAATAAAGTGTGGAAAATGGAATGGGATGAGAAAATGGAATGGGAGCCGATTAAATCACACAGACTATGTATAGGTCACTGGCAGGCAACACATACTGACATGAGCTCCAGCAAGCACCATGGGTGTGTGATGGGGATGTGAAGGTCTCACAATCTATACAAGTTGGCATGCATATGTACACAAATACGCTTCTCGTCTCATGCTATCCTAGCTCACATCACACCAGATGACAGAGAAAGAGAGATGTTTTCACGGCCGGCACCGGCAAGAACAAGAAGAAGCAGCAGCAAACTGGACACATGGGAATCGATCAATTTCCAACGAACGCAATTCATCAGCTTCTTCCATCTCCGCGTGTCAACCAAAACCGACGCAATCAATGGCGAATTCTACTAGCTACGACGAGTCGACGACGACCGTACCGGCCGGCGGTGGCGGCGGCACCAGGTAGCCTTCGTCGGAGCTGCTGGCGGTCAGGTTCAGGCGGAGGCGTGCGCGGCGGCGCGGTCCATGGCCATGTCGAGGTGGTGGAGGGAGAGGGAGGAGGGCAGCGAGAAGGCGTTCACCATGCTCGCCATGGCGGCGCCGGCGCCCACCGTGTTGTTGTGGCCGTCCCAGCCGATGTGCCCCACGTGCTGCACGTCCGTGGGGTACCCGATCACCATCTCCCGCTCCTCCTCCTCCTCGTCCTCCTCGCCGTCGTACGCCGCGAACATCTGCGACAGGCTCCGTATCCCCTTCATCAGCCTCGACACCCCGGCCGCCACGAGCCCCGGCGTCGCCGCCGCCACGGCCGCCTTCTCCTTCACGGCCTCGCCGGCACCATATTCTGCTGCTTGGAATTTTTGTTTGTTTCCCACCGCTCTGTCAGTACCTACTTACATATGTATGTACACAATTGTGACCGATCAGTCAGCCAAGAACTCACCCTGATAAGCCGCCGTGGTGGCAGTCGTGACGTCGGCGGCAGAAGAGGACGCCGACGAGGAGGGGTCGCCCTGCGGCTTCTTCTCTCTGGGGTCGGCGACGGACACGGCGGACTGCGACATGCAGCCCATGGAGAAGGGGAAGACGGCGAAGCGGTCGCCGCCGGAGCTCCCTCGGCGGTCCTTCATGTGCGGGCCTCTGCTGGCCGGCGTCACACGCACACGCACAGAGACACAGACGCTGCACACGAGTGGGCAATCCGGCGGCGTCTCTCCTCTCCTCCTCTAGCTGCAGGTGGATGGATGGGTTGGGCCTCCCGTCTCGTCCGGTCCGGGCTTTGTGTTTTTGGCTTTGCTGCCAAGGATGCATGATTGACTGTTTATATAGCAAGAGGGGCCAAAATGTATTATATTATACTAAAACAAACAGATAGGGGAAAGGCAACGTTTGGTGGGAGTGGGAGAGAGAGAGAGAGACAACGATACGGAGTGGTGCTCCCTCTTCCAAAAAAAAAGAATGCACATCTTGTTTTTGAGAAGTTCATTTTTTTTCATTAATTTTGACTAGAGATTCGTATAAGTAGTGTCAACATTTGTAATACCTTACCCTACTAATTTAGTGATACTTACTTTTATACATTTGGTCAAATTTGAAAAAAAAATTACCCAATAAGTGAGATGTGTATTTTTTTTTGGAACAAAGAGAGTAGCTTCTATGCTGCCGTAGAAAGAGAAACTCTATAAGAGAGAGACTGAGGCCTTATTTGAATGCGTATGTATTTATCTTAATCCATATGTATTGAAGTAGAATTAAACTAAGTTCTATTCCATTCCACTCCAACACATATGGATTACGTTGGGTACACATGCATCCAAACAAGCCCTGAGGGTGGGGGGGGGTGTGTTTGATATTGGCATGCTATCATCGTCAACTTTGATCCAGATGATCTCTGTACTAATTTGGCATTAGGAAAATTGATTCTATTGCTGGTGCTGCCTGGACGCCATGATATGAACAACATGGCAATAGATCGGTCTGCTTATCTTAGTACTATATTATACCATACCACTCTTTGACACTACTGACTGAACATAATCTCTGTCCAAAATAGTATATGCTATACAGCAGCTGAGAAACTAAAAGGCATTGACCACTGCTGGATGGAGTATGTAAGAGATGGATTTGCTGAACCGGCTGGGCCGACGAACTGTTTAATCCAAGACCGGTTTGACCGACCGACAGAGGAAACGAGGAGGAAAGGAGAGACAGTAGTTGGGTTAGGTCAGGCGCCATCATATCTATCATTTGCCACTCCTGCGATCTGCCTCTGTGGGGTTTCTCTTCTGCTGAACCTTGCTGCTATGTTGCTTCCTCCTTGCATCTCCTCTCCTGCTGCTGATTAATTCCCTTTTGCATACTTCTGGAAACCTTGTACTTTTGGATGGAGGATGGACAGATATGATTGCACTGTTGTTGGGTCCATGTTGATTCATGCATAGTCTTCAGGATTCATGCATGCATATATTATATATATGCATCCTGTGTATAAACTCCTGATGACAGCATGCAGTTCCTAGCAAGATCTAGCAGGTGCAGAGACAAGTAGTAGCAGTAGCAGCAGCAGGACAATAAAGGCATTATTAGTTATCTGCTCCAGTGTCCACTCCACAATCTTCTCACCCTGTAATTTCGTCATACTAAAATATCACACAGGATTTGCTCATGAGTCTCCTCCCCAACCACCTTGTGGTTGCTTTATTTGCCATTCCACTTGGTACTGCAAAAAAGGAATGAAAACGAGGGAAACAAAGTAAAGAGAGTGAGAAAGGGATCGCTCGCAGCTACTTAAACCAAGTCTAATCCTGCAGACCCATCAAGGGAGTTAGAAAGTAAAAGAAGTACGAAAATGTGCACGCTCATGAAACCCTTTTTCTGCTTTCGATCTCTGGGTTCATATTCTTTTAGATTCGGTTGATGAGGTACATATGTCTTGCCTGCTGTCATGCTGTGCTCCTTCAACAACCATCTGCTTCCAATTGCTGCCTTTCGATATATATAACTATTATCTGTTCATTATATTATATATAGATAGAAAAACAACAAATTGGACCTTTAGTTTGCTTGTGCGAAAGAGATCGCTCGCATGTACTTAAACCACTGCAGCAAACCAAATCAGGCTGCAGGAACCTATCACCTATGAGTGAACTGTGAAGTGAACGAATCCAAAAAGAAATGGCAAATTGGAGTGTGTTGGACATATGGAACTGCAGTTTTTTTTTTTTTGCTCTTATATCTATTGTATTATTCTCACTTGCCTTACAGATCAAACCAGTGGCCATCGGAGTCGTCCTGTCCGGCTGTCCGGGCGGGCAGTTGTGTGTGATGACGGCAGGGCAAAAGCTCTCACGCTCTCTCAGAGCATGTACAAGTGTCCACCGGAGGGAGGGAGCCGTGCACGCTAGGCGCTAGCTGCAGCTTCACTCCACTGCAGAGCTGAGCTGATTGGGTCACTCAGCTGCTTGCTTGCTTGCATCAGTTGCATAACATGACTGCATGAGCAGCAAATGGATAGCTAGGATAGTGGCGGCAGCCGGCAGGCACTGCACGGCAAGTGCAGGAGCAGCCGAGAAGGAGCAGGAGGCGTTGGTGAAGCTGGAGCAGGTACGGTGCAGGCAGCAGGCCTGACCGCAGCGACCAACCGCTTCCAAATTCCGGGGTCCGGGGAGGGGATGCCGGGGTGGGCGCGGATTTCTGGAGTGGGGTGCAAGCGATTCTCATTCAATTCTCTTTTCTTGTCGCCAAGAATAAGATCGTCGATACCTGCCCTGCAGCTACAGGAAGCCAGGAAGGAAAAGGATGGTGCGTCTCTGCGTGCGTGCATGCTTGCTGCAGGGTGGTGGTGGAGGTTGGTGCCCGGACCACGTCGACACTGATCCGCCACAGCTACACACACACACGAGGTAGCCAAGTAGCCATCGTATCATACTAGAGATTATACTCCTACGGCCTGTTCGGGACGCCGTATCGTATCGTGGATTATCTATTGCTGACTGGTTTGGTGTGAGAGAAAAACACTGTTCTCGATTGGAAATTTACGATCGTTTACAAGCAAGCGAACAGGCTACAGTATGGCTGGTGATCAACGACATAACATTACTAAAGAAAGGCCTAAGTGGCTAAGTCCCTGCTTAGTGCGTTCTGATACCGATAGATGCATACATACACGCCAACATTATTTTTGGGAGTGTTTGAATCTTCTCTTATACTGATTTTTAGAGGCCTTAAATGAACTCCCACGTTAATCCTAACAAAATGTGCCCGAAAAAGGATAGATTTTATAGATTCTTACAATAATCAGAAGCATCTAACTTTTAATTTCGTAAACTGTAATCATCACTGCCAACAATAAACATTGGGGATTGCTAGCGCCCGGACAGACGCACACGTCCGTTTCCCGCGCCTGCACCTGTTTCTCGCGCCCATGCGGGGCCCGCGCCACCGGGACGTCGCCCACGCCACCCGACCGCACTAGGGAATCGTGTGTAACATCCGATCTGCTTTTGCAACATTCAGATAAAACACTTACAACATACGTCCGAAACAACTGAAACACTTGTAACATACATCTGAAATACTTGCAAAACACCTTAAAAAACTTGAAAACATGTGTGTAGCCATTGCAGACATCAAGATGAAACACTTGCAACATACATATGAAAACACCTAAAACACTTGCATATATATGCAACATCCAAATCTACTTGTGCAACATCTAAATGAAGCACTTGCAACATACGTCTGAAACGGATGAAATATTTGGAACATATACTTGAAACATACGTGTATAGCAATTGCAACATCCCAATCCACCTTTGCAACATCGATATAAAACACTTGCAACATACCTCTGAAACATCTAAAACACTTGAAACATACGCTTGCAACATCTGCTTTCAGCGCAATGTCACCTTGCTGCTTGGACGAATGGAGGCTCGTCGCTGTGGAGCTCGACACTAGCGTGGAGGTCGGCAGCAGCGCATGGAGTTCACCGGAGCGGCGCAGGCAACTCACCGGTAGGACCCATCGTGGAGGCTCGCCGGCTTAGCGGAGGCGGCCGTGGCGGGCGGATGCCGCGGTGTAGGCGGAGTGGGGAAGGTAGGCGACGCGGTGAAGGCGGAGTATGGAAGGCGGGCGACGTGGTGGAGGCGGAGCGCAGTAGAGAGATTTTTTTAACGTACGCCCTAGCCCATCTGTAACAACCCAAAAATCCATACACCAAAAATACCAACTACAAATTTTTTCTCAAAACTCCCATGTGTTGATGAGTGATATGTATAGAAACCCAACCTAAGAGATGTATTAGGTCTAACCCCAACCCAAGTCAACACATAAGCATGGCATGTCATTTGGCATAAACATGTGATTAAGTTCCCTAAATAAATGAACCTTGCATGCATATTAATACCACTTGTGAGTTGGATTTTTCCTTTGCCTTATGATATGCTACTTAAAAATCACCAAACAACTATTAAGCTTGCTAATTAATCCTTTGAAGAGCAAATGCCTTAAGCAAACAAACAAAGAATAAAACAGAAAAGGGAAGAGAAAGGAAGAAGGTCGCAACTGGCTCGACTGCTTGGCCCTGCTAGCACGCAGATGGCACCACCGCCCAGCCGATTAAGCGCAGCAGCAATGCCAAGCCAAGCCAGCCAGCCCAACTCACACGACCAGCCCAGCAGCCACCGCTTTCACCCACCAAATGCCGCCAACGGACCCCACCCATCAGCCACCTCCGACAACAGTGCTTTCTTCCTCCCCACGCCGATTCTTCTCCGACCAAGTCCCGACAGCGATGGCAGGAGCGGGCCAGGGGTCACGCCGGGAGCATGACCCTGTTTCCCCCTTGGCGTCGTGCCCACGACCGCGCCACGGCCCCAGAACCCTAGCCTAGCCTCGCTAGAAGCCCTCCGATCGCCCCTAGTTCTCCATCCGCCATCCACCGAGCTCCATGGATGAGCTCGGCTATAAAGACCCCGGACTCGGATGCCCAAGCGCTCTCCTGTGCCCCGCCGCCACCTTGTGGCCGTCCACCGCTCACCCGAGCTAAGAGAGAAAGGGGATAGAGGAAGAAGAAGGAGCGCCCGACGTCGCCGGAGTTGTCGCAGCGGAGGACGACTCCTCGATCCAC